AGTGTGCCATTTGAGACGCAGTCTGAGCCTCCTCCATTCGGCCATTGCAAATTCTTTTTATTTTTACTCTTTACTACTTTTTCTTTTGTGGATAAGGAAACATCAGACAAAGACATCCATTAGCCTGTACATATTTAATTTTGTTTGTTAAGCGCAAAGATTTGATTCAAAATTATTTCTAAATTCAGTTCAAATTTTTAGCAAACAAATAAATGAAAAGTAATATCGAAGTGTGGGGTGAAGCAGTGGCGCAGTAGGTAAAGCTGTCACCTCACAGCAAGAAGTTCACTGGTTCGAGCCTCAGCTGGGTCAATTGGCGTTTCTGTGTGGAGTTTGTATGTGCTCCCCGCGTTTGCGTGGGATTCCCCGGGTACTCCAGTTTCCCCCATAAGTCCAAAGACATGCACTATAGGTGAGTTGGGTAAGCTAAAACTGTCCATAGTGAATGAGGGTGTGTGGATGTTTTCCAGTGATGGGTAGCAGCTGGAAGGGCATCCGTTGTATAAAACATATGCTGGATAAGTTGGTGGCTCATTCCACTGTGGCGACCCCAGATTAATAAAGGGACTAAGCCGAGAAGAAAATGAATCAAAGGCAATGTTGGTTATGTTTAACAATTTAAATTACTTCTCAGAGGAAATTTGAGTTAGCGTTTTGTCATCACCATTTACCTTTTGGGGTTCTGTAATATTTACAGCAAGTAAATGACAATATATGAATACAACCCAAGCTCAAACTTATTACGTACCCCTATATACATTTCTGGAAAGCAAAAATCATACTCAACAGTAATAGTTTGATTAAGGTTTTTACATGTTTAAATTCAGTGAGCAGCATTTACAGTGGACCTTTCAGCCCATATTATTGTTGTGATATTAGCATAATGTACACTTTGTAACTAAATCATTGGTAACACTTTACAATAAGGTTCATTAGTTAATGCATTTACTAACATGAACTAATCATGAACAACACATCTACAGCATTTATTATTCACATATAAACATTTACTAATGCATTATTAACATCCAAGTCCATGCTTGTTAACATTAGTTAATGCACCATGAGTTAACATGAACTAACAATGAACAACTGTATTTTCATTAACTAACGTTAACTAACATTAACAAATACAATACTAGATGTATTGTTCATAGTTTGTTCATGTTAGTAAATGCATTAATTAACATTAACTAATGAACCTTATTGTAAAGTGTGACCAAATCATTTTGACTAAGATATGTCTTTAAACACTGAAAGAGTACTGCTGACGTTACTAGCTAACTTCGCCCATGAATAAACAAAAACAAGAACACTGATCACACACTTACCAAATCTGTACAGACAGGACAATCAACACCAACTGGAGCCGCGTCTTTTTTTTTTTTAATTTCTTTTCAAAGCAGAAGAATGAATTTGCTCGCAAAAACAACCAATTTACACTTTTTAGTGAAATATATGTGTCCTACATATGCCTGTTTTTAGCAATATTGGGCACGTATATGACTGTCAACATCTCAAAAAATGTGTTTTGTGACTCTTTAAAAAGCACCGATAGACCATCACCCACCCGCTTATTTAAACCCAACTGATGTGTTTTAAAAAGGAATCCAGAAAATTTATATTTTCACCACATTTTCAGATTTGACCACATTCTCTCTTTGTTACTGTAGTTTAGGCTTTAGTTTTTGTCTTACCTGCTTTCTGGAACCATTCAACCCGGTCGTCACAATCAACTCTGCATCTCAAATCTTCTGACGTACATGGCAAACCACTGGACAAACTGGTAACAATCGACAAGCAGTCAACACGGAGGTAAGTGGTAAGCTGGTAAGCTTGAAAAAGAACGGCATCATACTTCCAGAAGCGTTCGTTTTAAAGACGAAAACAGTTCCTCTGGCTACATAATATTCGATCTCCAGAAATGTGTATTGGGTTACGTTTTCAGAATGGGCCATGGGGTTGCAACCACAACAACATTTAAATGAAAGCACAGAATGAAATACATTTACACAAATGATGTAGAAATATCATATTTTATTAACTAAAATACATTTGAATAACAATGCAATATGCATAATGAATTATTCCATCAATTTTGATACACGACAATACACAAGATAAGTACAAATCTTTTGTCTTGACACTGAGCAACATCAATACTCGAAAGAGCGGCTATGAAACGATAGGTCAGGCAAACATCAAATGACCATGCTGGAGATTGTTTGTGTTTTAAAACACTTTCCTGGATAGTACAATACTGTGTTACAAAGTTTATTTAAAAAATTGATATTTCAAAATTGATGTTTTATCTTTTACAAAGAAGACCGGAAGAGGTTTGAGAAAAGTCCTTAAAGACAGCAGTATTTTAGTACCTCACTCAGTCAGCTGTCAACAAAGACAGTTACATGCCAGTGGTCATTTCTGAGCTTAACTTAATGTTGTCATGTATACTGTTTTTACTGTGAATCAGTAACAACACCAAGTATGATAAATCTCCTGCATTTAAATACTGTATCGATTTAAAGCAGTGGTCCTCAACCACCAGGCCGGTCCATGGATCAATTGGCACTGGGCCACACAAGAAATCATACATTTTTTCAGTTTTATTTTTTATCTGGCTCTGAACGATTTTTATTTTGAAAAGTGTTTTATTTTGAAAAATGTCTGTGATTACATCTTGCTCACTCAAATTTAACCCACAAGCAGTAAAATGAGTAAGAGACAGACTTCTTTGAAAAGTTTCTTTGCTAAGGGGAAAAGGCCCAGTGAAGGACCCACGAACTGCCAAGGAATGGATCCGCAACACATTTGTCAACAAATCAGGTGAATCCACCATGGCTGTGCAAGAAGATCAACTAATGGAGATTGCAAATAACAGTGACCTTTTTAGGGGCTGTTCACATATCGCGTCTTTTCTAGAGTTTGCGCAAGTTTGTTTTTTCCAATGGAGGTGCACGCACAAGTGATGGGACGCGCTCGCACTTTCCAGACGCTCCAAGTGAACGAATCCCATGAGCGCACCGCGAGTCACATGACAAGAATTGAGTGATCAGCTTCAGCTTGTATGGAATTTACACATTTTGATAGACTAATTATCTTAGACAAACACAGAACACCCAAACACTGCAGTGCTTTGTAATTTTTTCCATTAATAAAACTTGTATCAGAGCTGCAGCAATGAGAAAAAAAAAACATACAAACCCCCACACTCCTTCAGTCAAGTGCTGACCGTTCCACAGTGATAAAAAGGTTAAAGGCCACTGATTTAAAGGGTTAATTTTGTAACTTTTATTTATTCATTTTATTTTATCCCTGAGGTCCACATTATACTTAGTAAAGTTTTATACATTTCGAACCATTTAAATTTTTTTTTTCATTTGTTGATCATTTTTAAACCTTTATGTATTTTATTTTACTATATGAGTTCTTCTAGTATGTTGGATTTGCAGCGGATATTTAAACCTGGGCATTGTTGAAATAAATAATCAAGCTCAGATGAGATAGATTACTGTATAATGCATTTAATTTTAATTGACCTTTCGCTAAGCCACACCCAAAAACTGCCACAGATTAATCATGGCTTTGCAGCCGTAGCTACACACAGAAGGTCTGTCAAGCTTTCGAGCGAGGGAAACAAGATAAAGCATTGTGCATATGGATTGTGCAAATCTGACACCCCGTATCCCTAAAGTTTGGACGGGGTCGTGGAATTTTTTTCCCTTTCCAAAACCTAAAACCCAAGGGGAGAAATGCCAGCGTGGACCAAGCTGTGTGAAGAGCGGGGTTACATTGCGTATGTTTTGTTTTCGATATTCCTGACACATTTAGTGATAGACAACAATAACTCAAAATCCTCGTACCCTAAAAAGATCTAAATTGTTTTCTACATAAATACAAAGCAGGTTATGTTTCCCAGCTGTCTTTTTCTTTTTTCGCTCGATATTATGAGCACTGCTCCGTTTAAGCCCTCGCAATAGTGGTCATACTAATAGCAGTCATGTTTCCATCTGTTTCAAGCTACGAATATTTGAAATTACAACAGAACAAAACCGAGATGTGATCACAAATTGAGCACTTGCAATCAACATACTTCACCCACAGCTGTTTTTCAGTCATTTATAACCCTCATGTCCATGTCAGAGCTACAATTTACTGATGTTTACAGAGATTTTTTTGAGATTTAGTCATTGGTGAAGACGTTATAGCGGGTTAGTGTCTGCTTTTATACTTGGTGGCGGATTAATATTTGCTGGTAGGGAAAATCTATTTGTTCACTTCTGCTATTTATACTTTGATTTGCTTTTCAATTTATTTATTTTTTTACACTTAACTGCAAATTAGAATAGAAACTGTATAAAAAGCACACCAAATACTGACAGTAATAGATATTGTACAATGTACATTGTTATGGGTCAATGATGCTAATATTCAGCACAAATCCATCGATTACCCCTTTCTGGCAGTTCTTTCTATGAACTAATTATGTAGAAGCACTGTCCATGCGTGTTTCCTTGTCGGTTAGTAACTATATTTCATTGCAAAACAATTAATCTATCAGGCTTTTTGGCTAAAAAAAAAAAGAGAGAGAGAAATCAGGGTTTAATTTGATGTTAGATTATTTTTTAAAATTCACCTATCCTGCTGTGCGGGAACTAAGCTGTTGAATGGTCAGCGTATGAGGTGGCTAGGCTTCAATTCTGATGAAATAATTTTCGGTCCCACTTTATATTAAGTGGCCTTAACTAATATGTACTTACACAGGAATAATTAGTTTGTTACAATGTACTTATTGTGTAAATACATGTATTTATTGTGTACTTATGCTTGATTAAATATCTGTATGTAATTACATCTGTAATTAACTTCTATAATTACATTTGTAAATACACTGCTGACCATTCCCTACACCTTAACCCACCCTTAAACCTACCCACACCACCAAACCTGTCCCTAACCCAACCCCTATCCCAACTCAAGAGCACCAAAAGTGCTCTCAAATACTTTATGAACACAGTAAGTACATTGTAATTATTTTTGATGTAAGTACATAGTAGTTAAGGACACTTAATATAAAGTGGGACCTAATTTTCTAATAGGTTGCTTATTATGTCATGAATATACCGCTGTAATACACACTCCAGTCCTTTTTTGTCTGGCTTTCTTGGATAATTCACCTGTTTGTGAAAAATGACTAATTATATTCCTGGGAATGTCTGACACCGGCGCATACATAATGTAATAGACGTGCGAGGCACGAAAGCTTGACAGGCATAACAACAGCAGCTAAGAAGGGTGGGGCTTAGCGAAAGGTCAATTGAAATCCTTTTTGTTTTCAACTGATTTTTGTTTTGGCAGACACACAGGATAGGAAGCACTTGATAATACACAGTTTATAATACATTTAAATGAATAAAAATGTTTCAGGTTCATACTCCGGCCATTGCTTAACTTTTTAGGAGGCGAAAGGTCACACATGTTATATAACATCAGACAGGCAAGCAGCATACAGAACTGCTGTACATGCTATAATTTACGTGTTATCATAAGCCCCGCCATAACAGCAATATACGTTTGCAGGAATTCAGGCGTGGGAGCGCCCTTCTTCCACTCTCATCTGCACATGATCCATGCTTCATGGAAATATATATACACATTTGTTACAGTCTGTATTTACACACTTACACATGGAATTCTTATAATAGTGGTACAAAATGATCTATATAAAGTTAGAGCATGCATCTTCAACATTTGTTATTATTTGTCTGTAATTCAAGTATTTTACAATTCTGAAACATCTGGAAAATTGTCCCAGGAACATATTTACATGACATAAGAATTCATTTTGTCTGAAATCACAAATTGTAATCTTTGTTTACATAGTACGTCGTTAGCTGACAAATCTAATGAGTTGTTAATCTCCATCAACTTATCACTTTTATCAACGTATACACAATGCCAACATTATTTCCATCATTACTTAAATCCTGTTCATCACATCCTTGTACATTTCTCTCCCATTTCGTTCTTCAGTCTGGAAAAACCATCTGCTAGCTGCAAAAAAAAAACTTCCATTGCTTTCGTGGAAAAGCTGCTCCATCGCAGGCCATCTGCTCAATGTCTGATGAGAAAACAAAAGCTGAGAGTGAACATGCTGCTCATTCACTGTGTGCATGATATCGGTTGAACTGTAATAACACTGTGGAGAGATAGAGCCGGACTTTCCAAACAGTGCTAAAACAACAACTGACCTGAAACACAAACCCTCCTCTGCACTGGACATCACTGGAGACCATGCTCTGAACATGTTGTTGTTTCTGTTTTATATTGGCTCCCTTTTTCTTATTTATCTGCACACTTAACCCAAATCGATGACTTCACTAAAAAATTGCATCATTAAAAGTGCTCAAAGTTTCTACACAAGGTGAAACTAAACAGCCTTATACAGGCCCGTAGCTAGGGGAGGTTCAGGTTGTTCGAAAGACCCAACCACCACTGATAAAAACCCGAATTTAAGCTTTACATGTGCTTGTTTGTCTCATTTTTAACTGCTATGTCATCATAAATTGTCAAAATTACAGATAGAAGAAGGCTTTAAGACATGTTACATTTTTTAATTATTAAAGTGGCCAAATTCTGACTGAGAAAAGTTGACTGAGATATTATATATAACTTAAATACTTGGTAACACTTTATTTTGATGGTTCATTTGAGTATTAGTAGACTGTCTACTTAATATCTGTTGATACTGCTCCTTTAACAGACATAAGAAACTTTGCAAGTACATGTCAACTTACACTAACCCTAACCCTAACCATAACCTAACAGTCTAGTTATAATCTAATGAGAATTAGAGGGCATAGATGCAATGTAACTTAAATTCAACAAACAGACCATCAAAATAAAGTGTGACCCAACATTTTATCTTAAATGATAGATGATAATAATTTTTTTATTTAAAAATAAGTATTTTTTCCTATTTCTTTATTATTCTTTTTTTTTAAAAAGCTAATCTCGTAACATATCTAAAACTGTAATAATTGACACTTTAAATGCAAATTTGTAAATAAATACTTCATAATAAAGTAGTGTGATGAGCACTTTGACAAAATCATAGGAAATATTTTTAGTACATCAAAAAGTGTGGTTATGATCACCATCCAACAAGCTGATCCAGCAGAAAGCTGTGCTGAAATGTCACTCAATGCAGTATTTTAACCTTGCATGAGGCGAATAACTGCAAAAAGGTGAGTCTTCATGCAGTACTACTGCTAGTGAAAGTTTGCTCAAATTTGACTAAAGATGTCTGAATAAGAACAACTTAGAGGGTTTGAACTTAAATATTTAGATTCCTTTTTGGATTCCTGAGTAACTTGTTGCAGTACTCCCCAAGTTTTGTACATTTATTATTCAAATAAACTGTTCTCAAATGTTTTATATCACAAGAATTACTACAAGAACAAAAGCCTCCACATCAAAGTTCCTGAAAGCAAAGGAGGTCAAGGTGCTCCAGAATTGACCAGCCTAGTCACCAGACATGAACGTTATTGAAGGGATAAGATGGAGGAGGAGGCACTGAAGATGAATCCAAAGAATCTTAGTGAAGTTTATTTATAAACTAATTTCGAGAGGAACGAGTGATTATGATTGAACATGGCTGGTTCTGCATTAGCTACGTATGATCCACCAATCAGGCCAGTCCAAACCCACTATAAAGAGCCAGGGTTTCTCACTACAGTCATCTTCGATTTGAAGACCCCCCCTTCCACCACTACTTCTTTCCCTTCATAGAGCGGCACGGTTGCCCAGTGGTTAGCACTGTTGCCTCACAGCAAGAACGTCACCGGTTCTAGTCCTTTAACAGGCCGGCGGTCGTTTCTGTGCGTAGGTTGCATGTTCTTCCTGTGCTCGCGTGGGTTTTCCCCAGGTTTCCTCCCACATTTCAAAAACATGCACAACAAGTCATTTGATCAATCTAAATTTAGCACTACAGTCAAACTCTCATCCTGCAGCATATCTCTTCATAGCATTCATTTTAGTCATCAGCTCTAATCAAGGGGGGAGTTGTCGAGATCTACCTGAGCTCAAAGCTCCCCTCTCGCCCTGCAAACGGGAGAGAGCCCAGGGCTCAAGGACCTTTTGAACTCAGGGCTCTCTCCCAGGACAGCATGCCAAACTTGCTTATCATCAGCTAAGTGTGAACTCTTGAAATTAACTTTGGAAATTAACTTAAGACTTCACTAGAAGTCAAGTTATTATTTGGGATCGACGACAAGACTTTTGTCAGGTAGTGTATGTAAAAAAAATTGGTGAATCTCTGTGAGAGTCTAGTGGTTAGGTATATAATTATTTAAGCATAATTTATTTTACATTATTTTACCAATTATAATCTAGCAGATGTATCACCTACCTGATTAATACTACGGTGTCCACAGATAGTCCAATTTCTGATGGCCCAGAGTGATCATGGAGTTTCTGTTTGTCCTGGGTCGCTCTGCTGACATCACTTCTGGGCTGTGAGGAAGACAGAAAACGTTTTAACAATTTTAATATTATTAAGCAAATTCTGACAGATTTGTAGTGTTACTTGGGTGTGGATTTCAGTTCTGCTGTCCGTGTCATGCTAAATATTACGATACTGCTTAAAAACATTTTAAATATGTGTTGTGTAACCTCTTTCCAGAATGTTAATGGCCCATTAAAAATCCAAACTAATGGAAGACAGCCTGACCTAATTTTTCAAATGGCATTGCACTTACGCAACAAACTGATTATTACGATATGATAAAACAAAGGCACAGAGCAAATCAAAGCACTACGTCTCTCACATGCAGCGTATTGCATGAATCATTAGTCCATATGGATATATTCCTCAACAAATATCTGCTCTCGGGAGGAGAACGCATTCAGCATAGCTCCCATATCTCATCTAATGAGTTAAATACATGGGGAATTCTCCTACTCCCACCAACATACCTCCAACCTGACACTGCAGCCCTGGAACTATTCATCTGAGTCTGTGCCAACCTACGTGTGGGATCACAGCTCCTTCGTGGAAATAGGTTGTTATTTATTAATGAAAAGATATTCTGCTTTTTCTCGCCGTTGTTAAGACGCTCTTTCTTATGTCACAGATGAGGTTGTGGTTCAGAAAGAATGTGGAGATGATGTACAGTTGTAATTTGGTCAGCAAGCTCGTGAAACTGATTTCTGAAGTTGCAAATGTTCTTACATAACATACTGGGATGTCTTACAATAAATAATACACTGTTATATAACAAACTTATTATTCTACCGTCTTCTTCTTCTGATACTAATTTCTTTATGCATCTCCTCCTAGACTGTTCATACTACAAACACCAAACTAACCCCAAACCTCCAAACTATACTGGATTAAGTTGCTTTATCTTTTCCAACAGATCCGACTTACGGTTTTCCCAAAACTGAACCGGAAAATTCGGAAAAGTCTCATTGACTTAACATTGGACCAAACTTTGTGACCTCATAACTTTGCGCCAGACTGTCATACAGACTTAAAGTTGGGCTCATTTAACTCTGACTACCAATCTGCGAATCACTGTGATCTTTAAACTTTTTAGCCTCACCCTAGCAACCACTTACGCCACCCTAGCAACTGTCCCATAGACTTCCATTGTGAAAAACTGCCATTGACTTTACATTTGACATACTAGCGACATACAAATTCATACTAGCAATACACTAACAAACATACTAATCATACTAGCAAAATGCTAATTCATGCTATAAACATACTAGCAACATGCTAATTTATACTAAATTCATGCTAACAACATGCTAGTTTATGCTAAAAACATGCTAGAAACATGTTAATTCATTCTAGAACCATACTTACAACATGCTATATTATGCTAGAAATATGCTAGCATAATGCTACTTCATACAAGAAATTTGCTAATTTATGTTACAACTGCTTATCAACTTCATAGTAATACCTTAGCAACCACCTAGCAACCACTCAGAACACCCTAGCAACCACATAGGAATTCCTCATTAACCTTCTAGCAACATATTAGCAACTGCCTAGCAACACCTTAGCAACTACCTAGCAACACCTTAGCAACCACTTAGCAACACATCGGCAACCGCCTAGCCACCACCTAGTAACATGTTAGCAAACACCTAGCAATCACTCAAAACACCCTAGCAACCACCTAGCAATACCTTAGCAACCATTCAGAACACCTTAGCAACAACCTAGCAACCTATCATTTATTTAAATAAATAAATAAATGAATGAATAAATAATGTTTTTACCCCACATTAGATCATAAATGGACAAATTGTTACTTTTATTTCAATTAAGAATCTTTTTTTTTTAGCCCATCAGTTGGGTTTGTCCATATTTTGACCGTGTGGTGCTAGTCACCGACTACCACATGAATCCAGTGCTGAGGTATTTAAGAGGAGGCAGTGCACTGGCGAGATTAGAACATCCTGCAGTTTAGCATTTCAGCGTGTGGTTCTGGATGAGAGTCTTATCTTGCATCACGTAGACACATAGTGAGTCATAACATCAAAAGAGCAGAGCCATTAGTACTACTTGTGTTTGTGATACGATTTCCCAGAAGTCACTCTAGCGCTCTCATGGGAACAACACTAGAACAATGAGCTAAAGCTGAATGCATGCCCATTCTGATGTAGTTTTAGCATCACAACCAATCGACTGTCAAATAATATGTCCTCTGGACTTTTAGAAATAATAAATATTCTTTTTATTTATAAAATAACATTCAGTTTGCCTTCAGAGGGAGATCTAATCTGAGCATTGTTTTGAGTGCTAATGATCTGAATCTACTAAATTATTATGAAAACAGATGGAGTACCGGTAAAGTTGAGGACATGATCTTTTCAAGGAGCCTGAAGACAGTCCCAGTCGGCTTTGGTTCCTCAGTTTGGTCTTCTTTACCAGATCCTTTACTCTTCCCCAAGTATAGTTCTCACTCAGCTGCAGACACACAGTTGTACAATGTAAAAATTGATTGAATGAATGAAATGGTTGTCAACTTAACATTAAAAGACAATACTACAGTATCAATTTGTTAAATGGTTAAGCAGAAGTTTCCATTTGTATGTATGTATGTATATATATATATATATATATATATATATATATACACACACACACACACACACACAACAGTTCTGTCTGGTTCTCGAATCTGATTGGCTGATAGCCGTGATATATTTAAGTAATATCAGCACCCGTACAGTCTCTTTGCCCTTTGTGTATTACTCCGCCCACGAACAGCCAGCAAAAAGCAGACACGACAGATCTAAAGGTTAAAAGATGCTTGCTCAGCTGTTTAACTGTCAGCTTGTGATTTGAATCCAAGGCGGAAGAAAGTAGTTCCTCATACAAAAGGGTTTTTGAGACTCTCCATGTTTGATTTTGTTTTTATATACACAATTATGCCGTCAAACTGTTATATAAACGCAATATCACATGAGTAGCAGTGTGATATGGCTGTATATCGGCACTGGTGGGGGCACAACGCACGCCTCCCACCAGTGCCGATATACAAATCTAAATGAACTTTTGGATGTGAAGTCATCTTATAATTTGAAATTCGAAGTCAATTGGCGTAAACTGACATTCACCAGAATATATTCTTCCATTAAACACAAAGAAATATATACTTTGCAGTTGTTCTCAGTGGCTTTGGTGCGCTTCTCACAACACTATTTTTGCACAACAGTTCATGCATTTCACAAAACAATTAGTACAAACTGCAAACCTTGTTGATACCCTGCAAAAGCGTGTCACTTGCCTAAAATGGATAGCTCAATCCTCAAAAGCAAGTATTAATGTAAATGAAAGTGTCAGTGTCATCAAGATGAAAAGTCCTGACTCCATTGTTTATTAACAAGATAGTCAAATGGTTTAGTCATGTTTTCATTATGACAGTTTACTCTACATTTTTTCCCAAAAATGCAAAAAAAGTCGGATTTCAGTGACACTAAAAACGCTCAAGATAGCACTACTGTATATACTGCACAGCCATTTGAAAACTACAGTAAAACAAACAAAGGATGATGGAGAAGCCAAAAAGAGCTAATCTTAACTGCGGTCAGGCCAGCCACCAGTTCAAGAAGAACGGTCATTCTAGCCGCTAAGGCATTTTAGCGGTCTCTCATACACTGTGTTTTACAGTTATGTACAGCAAGCTGACAGGGAAGATGGCGAGGTCATTCGCTACATTGAAACCGCTGTCATGGAAAATGAAATGGATGTTCTTGGCTGGTGGAAGATGGACAAACAATCCGACACAAAACTTGCAAAATTAGCCAGAACAGTATGCATCCTGGCCAGTAGCAGCAGCAGAGAAAGAGTGTTCAATGCTGCTCGGTGAGCGGCTGCTCTAATGTCGGGCTGTAAACGGGTTCAGGATTTTAAAATCAAATCAAAATGTACTTGTCGGGCTCAGACCGAATTTTGTTGGGCTCGGGCCCTATCAAGCCTAACTTTTATTGCCTTATTACAACTCTAGTGTGGGTATGTTTATGGGTGGGTAAAGGTGTAAGAGCTGGGTCAACACTGTATTAATAAATGTAATAAAGTACAAAGTAAATGTAAAAGAAACAATACATTTAAATCTAAGTACCTGGTAATTAAGGCCACTTAATATAAATTTAGACCAAAACGAGACAGTACAGTTCAAAGCAGGCAAAAATATCAAGTAAAAATGCTAATAGTTATAATACTGCAGTTAAAGTATTTAAAGTAAAATGCTCTCTATACTAAATGGCAAATATATAAGCAATGGTGGACGAAGTAAAATAAAATCATAATGAAAGTGTATTTGTTTTAGCAAGCTCTACTACGTCATTTTGTTTTACATTGAATAGCGCACTTTACAATCATTCAAAACGTAAACAAATGCATGAGACAGAAAGGCCTGACCAAACATTTGCTATAATTCCACTTCCCCTGAGTGTTGATAGATGAGTGTTTGTCAGATTGAGTCATTGTGTTGACATTGGACGGACTCACCCGTCTGTGAGGAGCAGAGAGCACCTCAGCGCTGTCGCTCAGGTATTTGGCCTCTCCCTCTGTGTAACTCCTGCGATTCAAGCCCCTCCTCCAAATGGGCAGAGGTTGGCAGCCCATCTCCCCATCTGTACAGAAAAAAAGAGGCAATGCTTAAATATCATTAAAACACACTCTATTTACAGTTCTCTCAACAAAAGGAAATAACCAATATGACGAGTCTGTGATCTATGACTAATCTCTAGACCCTCTGAAGGGTGTGGTGCATACGGTATATACACATTGAAACATGCATTAGGTCTATCCCCCACCAACCGAAATTCCCAGAATCCCAGAAATATGTTTCTTCTCTCTATATGGAATACCAGAAATTCCACCTATCGCTGAAGTATTTATTTCTATGGAGACTAATGTTTGGTCGCCCGCCCACCTGAAGGAACATGAGATGTAGAGAAAGCAACCAGGAAAAACATGACTGTACTGTAATGTGGACACAAAGGGGGATCAATCTATCTATCAATCTATCTATCTATCTATCTATCTATCTATCTATCTATCTATCTATCTATCTATCTATCTATCTATCTATCTATCTATCTATCTATCTATCTATCTATCTATCTATCTATCTATCTATCTATCTATCTATCTATCTATCTAAAACCCAATAATTTAAGAGAACTCGCAGGTACATGTACATCTGCTTGTACTGATGTAGCATAACTCATTCCATTATCTGATTACTATCACACATACTGTAGATAAGCTCTAAAACATTATTTGTTTTCCAATTAGATCTCCAGCTGTAGTAAACAAAAGGATTAATATAGCCATTGCTCTTTTTTATAAAGAAATAGATGGTCTTGGCCAGGTTTTGGCCAGTTGTCATCCATTGAGTCCTGCCTTAATCCCCAGTCAGATTTCAGCGCAATTTACTTGACGTAGGGTGTTGTGGGGATTTAAAAATGACAAATGGGCATTGCGACACAAGATTCAATCGTCTATTCTCGTGTAATGTGGCATAGTTCACAACAACTGATACCATGCCTGCCATGCCTCATGACACCATCGCAGAAAGTCTAACATGTTTAATTTTGTTCTCGTTCTTCACGATGAGTTTCATCACGTGGGCGACACTGTGCTGCTGTTAATGTGCTGGTCAGGTAATCAAAAATAGGCTGGATATTTATTTATGGGTGGGTCACGACTCACGAGTGGATAAGATTAATCATTGGTTATGCAAACTTTATCTTTTCTAAAATATTAAGGTGTTTTAGGCAATTTTATCTGACAAACTGGCACAAATATGCAGAAATCTTTATTATCACCACGAGTTGCTGAGTTCTCTCATCCTTCCAACAGAGTTTGTTCTTTCGAGGTAATCTGGGAACATGTTCAGTGCTGCGAATACAATTAGGGTTTCTGCAGGTTTCACCGAGTTAAATTTAAGAATTTTTAAGACATTTGTAAGACCATTAAGAATGGAATTTTAGACCCATAAAGGGCTAAAGGCTGAGGAATTTTAAAAAATGGCCCACATGAAAAAGATTTTTATTTGCCCTATCAAAACAAATTATTATGATTTAATACATTTAATAATGCAAAAATACATTAATATTAAAAGAAATTTACATTTAATTTTTTAGCAAAATATTTTAACATTGTGTAAAAATAAGCAAGCTCTAGTAGTATCCATACACTTTTTTTACAGCATAAACTTTCTTTAAAATAAAAGAAAAATGAACAAATGTTTTAAAAGTCTTAAAAACTATTAATTCATAAATTTTCCTTCGGCTTAGTCCATTTATTAATCAGGGGTCACTACAGAGGAATGAACCGCCAACTTAACCAGCACATGTTTTACGCAGCGAATGCCCTTCCAGCCACAACCCAACACTGGGAAACACCAGCACACTCTTGCTCACACTCACATACACTACGGCCAATTTAGCTCATTCAGTTCATCTAAACAGCATGTCTTTGGACTGTGGGGGAAACCGGAGCACCCGAAGGCAACCCATGCATACATGGGGAGAACATGCAAACTCCACACAGAAATTCCAACTGACCCAGCTGGTGCTCGAACCAACGACCTTCTTGCTGTAAGGTGATTGTGCTACCCACGGCACCACAGCGCTGCTTTCAAAACTATAATAAACTAAATGTATGCATAACAATCTGTCTAGGTCAGTGTCCTCAGCAGTAAATACATAAAAAACTTTTAAACAAATGTTATTGTAAAGGAAATAATTAAACCATTATGATAAATAAAGTTAAAAAGTATTTGTTTAAATAAAAAGTTTAACATTTTATTGAGATGATAGTTGGAGATTGTATGGGTTTTGGCCAGCCTGATCTCACGAGAAAGCGTAAATATTTTAGTTCAGTTTAGTTTCATATTTAAGAGTTCAGTTGTACGAAATGGTACGATTTTAAAAAGGAGGCGTGGCACCTGACCCCACCCCTAACCCCAACCGTCATTGGGGGATAAGCAAATCGTACTTAACTGTACGAATTAGATAGTACGAATTCATACGAATTAGCCACTAAATGAAAAAGTTACGAATTGCCGTGAGATTGTGTTGGTTTTGGCCAGATTTGGTAGCATTACAAGGAAAATTAAGACCTGTTTAAAAAAGATTTAAGACCTACAACACATTATGTCAGTAAATTTAGGACTTTTTAAGGCCTAGTATTTGGTGTTTGAGATTTAAGACTTTTTAAGACCCTGCAGAAACCCTGACATTGTAAAAGTATTTCCTGCTCATTCAAATTTGTCATTAATAGTAGTTATATGCTATATGCTTAATATAGTTAACAGTTTAATATAGGCTTCTCTGAAACGTAAATATCTATATTTTACTTAAATTCTATTAAGGCTAGATTATCATTTTATTTAACAAACCAACACAATGTCCCAGCAATTCTTGTTTTGGTCCATATAGCGGACTTGTTTTGAGGCGCATCACCTCAAATGTTATTTGATATTCTTGTTTATAGATAACTGACCAAAAATATACATTAAAACAGTTGAAAATTTTAGCAAACAAAATTCGTTGCTAATTTTTTTCAGAGAAAAATATACAAATTATATTTTTGTTTGTGCCCCTCCACTACTCAACTGTACGGGTGGATGATTTGTTTCGCTCTATGGAAATAACTATTTAATTCATTGTGATTGTTTCACAAATCTCAGTTACTGTGTATATTTGCTAATTTTTTATATGTTATTTTTTTAAAGATTATGTCTTGAACATCTGATTTTGCCTTGCTGCTACTTATGTGCTTTCATTTTCTCCGGCTCACTCTTAGCAAGTTCAGGCGAACAAGTGTTTATACCTTTTTTTTATAAATAAATAAAAATAATTATGTTATAGCATTAAATAAAATATTTGAATACAATATACATCATTAATTTTAAAAGTTGACACTTCGATTTTAAACTCTTTAACATTTTTTTTTCTTTTCAGTTTAATTAAGTGATTATTTAACTCATTCCATTATCTGATTGCAACTACACATAGATAAGCTCTAAAAATGAGTTGTTTTCCAATTGGATCTCCAGCCAGTGTAAACACTGATTAATCTTAGCCTTGTATGTATGACTCCAGGTGTGTTTGCACATTGACCTCTCATGGCTGCCCTGAGGGGGATGCGCGTGACCTCCGGGATTGTGGTGAGGTCAGACAGCGTGCCGTTCGATGCCGTTGGGCTGTAGTGGTCACTGCGAAAGTGTCTTTTCAGCTCTTGAAAGGCCAAACCAGCTGCTCCACAGCTACAGTGCTGCATGAAAAAGTCCTGCAAAGAAAAAATATTTAAGTTAAAATAAATAGTTTCCCATCTAGCAAAAATGGTCATTAGATTTATTTACTCTAAGTCATCTTTTTGATAAATTTATGCGTAAAATGACTTGCAATGCTTACGTATTATATGGTCCAAATGCTCCAAATCAAAGTGTGGTCATTTGGAACAGAGGAGTACTTAAAATAGTTCACTTTATGAAATCTAAATTAAATTTGTTGTTGTTCACACTCATGGGTCAAGGATGATAGCACATACTTGGCCTGTAGAATAGACATCTGGTTCCAATTTTTATGCAAGTGGAAGATAACTGAGTCCTCAAACATGTGCATTCACTAGCAAAAACTATTTAAGTTTTATTATTAACTATTATTGGTTGTGAATGTACTGAAATATGGTTAGTTTATAATAATCCCTCATTATCTGATCTTTAGTGTATATCTTTCAATATATTATTAAGCTGTGAGAGAATTAAGGAAGTCAGAGTAGTCTGTTTCTTTCATTGACATCAGCTTTATTTCATTTAGCAGCTCAGATAAATAAAAATAAAAAAGAATAGTGTCTAGGAAGAACTATTTTAAAAATTAATACATATTATTTATGATCTGTCAATCCTGCAGATACCATTTCACTCTTAACATTCTCTATCTGGGTCACAATTTTAAGCATTTTCCTTGGACCGTCTAAACAACTGAAATGTGCTAGTGTCATTTTCCACCAATTACCTATACTGTTGTTACACATTTACCTCCCAACCAAATGTGTAGTGTAAAAAATACAACATATTTTAGATATTGTTGAAAATGCAAAAGAACCTACTCCATAGACTATAGAATACACAAGTTATGTCACTCATATCTTTATAAATGGGGAAAAGTGTAACAGTCAATGCTGCAGTCACACTAGAGTTTAAGCATGCGAAATTCTGTCATGCGGCGCTGCGAGAAGGGGATTAAACAAGATGATTAGACATTAAAAAAGTGAGCGATTGGTCCATGTTTTAAATTCCTGTAAAGAGAGGTCATGCTTTGATCCTCGATCGGTCTCACGCAGTCACGTGATGTGATTTCGCAGGTCAGAATTCACCAAGCTTGAACTTTGCAACGCAGTGAACTGCAAAACTTGTCGCACGAGCTTGAGTTTCCGGTCTGATGCATTCGCGTGCGTATGAATGGAAGTATATGGGGGAAATAAAGTCCAGCGTGACCACAGCTTCAATATGGCGAATAAAGCCTCGTCTGCTAGTACAGAAGCCAATCACGATCAATATATAGAGAATAAAGCCCGCCTTTTAGTATAGGAGCCAATCATCTATCGCTATAGAATGACAATACTGCGGTGGAGGGGCTTTTACCAGACGTGAGTTCCTGCAGATTTTGTGTGATTTGGATGTTTAGAAATTAAACTAAATGCAGTTTTAATTTTGAACTTAAAAGTTTTATTTAAAACTTTATTTTTATTCGTGTTCCTGATATGAAATTCAGTCGAAAGCTTGGCAAGCCTTTTTAGAAAATTTGATGTTTCCCCATTCAGACAGAATGCCCGAGCATACTGCTCGAAAGGTGTTTTAAAGACGGCTGCCGACTGAAATTACTTGCCGTAACGGGACTTTGCCAACACTACTGGTCAAAAACTTGGGGTCAGTTTTATTTTTTTCATGTTTTTTTATTTTTTATTTTTATTTTTTGTTTGCTTTAAGAAAATTATTATGTTCATCAAGGCGGCATTTCCTAAATGAAAAAAAGTTTAATTGTTAAATATTTATTAAAATTTTAAATAACTGCTTTCTTACTGTAAATGAAATAATTAATCCAGTCATTGTTGCTTTTATTACTATTACCATATTAATAATAATATTAATAATAACAACAATAATAATAATAATAATAATAATAATAATAATAGAAAATAATAATAATAACAATAATAATTATTATTATTATTATCATTATTAATATTAGACTGATTTCTAAAGGATCATGTGACTCTGAAAACTATGTAATAAAGCTGAAAATACATCTTTAAAATCACTGGAATAAATGATTAAATTAAATTATAAGCAACTTTTGAAAAGTTATTTTATAGTGCAAAAACATTTTAAATTTTACAAATTGTTTCTGTATTTTTGATTAAATAAATGCAGCATTGGTTAACAGGAAAAGCTTATTTTAAAACATTTAAAAATCCAGCTGACCCCAAACTTTTGACAGGTAGTGTATATTTTGCAATTTTTGGATACAAGCTTTAATAATGTGTATGGATTAGGAATGCAGAATAAAAATAAGTTAAAATTTTGTAGGTTGTAATTCTATTTTTGCAATATTGTGCTTGAATTTAATTGTATCTTTCAATTTCTAAACACGTTTGGTGATTAAAATATTATTTTAATAAATATATCTGTTTAATAAATCTGTTTTGTTAAATGCACCAAAATACATTGCCTAGAGAAATGAATACAAATATTCATTTTCAAAATGGGGTGTACTTATCATGCTGAATACTGTATATTCTGTCTTAAAATGAGCGAAATCATTTAAACTTAAAACAATATTATTTAATTATTAAATTATTGCTTGTTGCATATCAAAATATTGGCTCTTACTGCTACAAAATATAACAGAGTGTATTTTTGTCACTAAAGAATGAGTGTGATTGAGCTTTATTTATTTATTTATTTATTTATTTATTTATTTATTTATTTATTTATTTATTTATTTATTTAAAATGGTAATCTTAAGGCAGTGTAATAAAATGCTTAAGAAGTGTATATTTTGCAATTTTTGGATACAAACTTTAATAATGTGTATGGATTAGGAATGCAGAATAATACTATGCTTTACAATGGTTACTGAACAGTTACTACATTATAATAGGCAGGTAATTAGCCAGTAGCTAATATAATTGCAGCAGTGCTTCTTGTCAGTTAGAGTGATAACAAGCTTCCCAAATCTCTATTTATCCAAGCTTATCCTCTTGGTTCTATCTGTATTTGCATGGTAAATGCTGTTTGATTGATTAGGTGATGATGCCATGGCTTTTATAGTTTGCTGTTGTTGACACTGAGAACAAAGACATGCAGGCCTTCGCTGACTTCAAAATGAACTGTGATTTCTCTGAAAGCATCCATGCATCGTGAAGATTCTTGAAAAGAAAGAAGCAAAAACTATTGACCTTGGACTGGAGATAAAGGAATTTGTCTTAAATGTTGCATAAAGCAAAACACCAGATGCAATGCTGTGATGAAGAATATCTGTTCATCTGATTGGTCATGGAGGATAGCTGAAAAGATCAAGGTGTAGAACTAACAAGACAGGCGGAGGACACTACAATGGCGGCAATTGCATATTGTCTGGGGCCTGAATGCTTTTTATGAGTACAGATGAAAGCATGCTGTGAGGGTTTAGGGGTGGTTGGGTAAGGGAGGAGGCTGGCGAGACAGCGTGGTCCATTACAGTGGAGACTGGGGCATGTTTCAGGAGTTCCCCTGCCTTTTGATGTGTGTAACAGCATGTTCCTGCCTGTTGCTTTTTCTCCACAGACAAAAACATGCACAGGGGATCTAACATGCCGGGAGTTCAAGCAGTGTGGTCCACTTACTATTCCTGTGTGACATATTAAAGGAGCAAATTAATTCTGTATCCACTGAACGTTTTTGTCATCCTAACGAACCCATTAACTAAACTATTGTAACCACTGAGCATTTTATTCAGTGGATTTGTTTGATGTTAGGTTATTATTATTATTAATAATAATAATAGGTGATCATCAAAAAATAACAACCCAAGCTCATTCTGGAAACGTAGCTCCGCGGACATTTCTGGAGACCGCGATTTACGTGGCCGGAGGTACGTAAAGGGCGCGTTTGGTTTTTTTCGAGCGAACGCTGCAGGGCGGTGTGGCGCCGCTCCGCCCCTCCTCTTCGCGCTCGCAGGCCGACGGCTCGCCTCCGAGTGGAGGGCTTTCCCGATGCAATCAGTTTGTCCGCTTAGCTTACAGCGTTGCGTCGGCGGAGCGGAGGCCCCGGAGGAGGAGCCGGCCGCGGTGGACGACGACCGGGATCGAGTCCAGAGAACAACAGGTTCCGGAAATAAGGTAAGACGAAAAACGGAATCCGAAAAATAAGGGCGAGAACGCGGCGGGATCCGAAAACACGGTCGAAATCGAAGACGAGGGCTTTTGCTTTTTTTTTTTTTCGATCCGGCGGCTTTTCGCGCGAGAACACGCCCGAGAGGCGCCCGAGACATGAAAAAGCGCGCACAGCGGCCTCTCGCGGATCCGCGAAAACAAAAAATGCTCGAATACGTACCTCCCGGGACGTAAATCGCGGTCCGCAGAAACGTCAGCGGGGCTACGTTTCCACAATGAGCCCGGGTTGAAAAATAAATACAATGTTCATACTGTGTTTATAAAGTATTGCAAAACATGTTAAGTGCTTTTGAGGTGGGAGACAGGTAAATTTAGGGAACGGTTTGGTGGTATGAGTAGCTTTAAGGGTGGGTTCAGGTGTTAGGGTTGTAAGAAACAGTTTAATTAAACATGTACAGATGTAATTACATGCAGGTTAATCAATCATAAGTACAACATAAAAATTATGTATTTACACAATAAGTACATTGTTACAAATGAGTGATTTCTGTACATATAGTACATTCAAGAGCATACTAGTTAAGACCACCTAATATAAATAATACCCTTACAGTTTCAACCAATGAGTGGAATCAGACACATGCTATATGAGGTTGTATGGATTTATTAAAATAATAAGCACCATAACTGTTATGAATGGTTGTTAGATCATTTTAGAGCTTTAATAAGTTAATTTTTAGTCCATACATTCATGATTTTTTTTCTGCAGTGCAAAAATAACCATCTTAATATGAAAAACAAATGAATGATTTAAGAAGATACACACTAGAAAAAAAGTCAAGTTACCTGTCAGGGCAGTAAGATAATTATAATTGAAATAAGAAATCTTAGCTACGCTTTTTTTAAATAAG